CTGGGGCAGCAGATTTGGGGTCCTGGGTAAGGCAGGACAATCTCTCTTAGGGCCCCCCGTCTGCCGCTGGCTCAGCGAGAAGGAGATGCCTCGTGTCCTGCTTCACTAAGGGGTGGGGGGGCTTAGCTTGTCAGATGGCATCGGTCCTCGCGTAGCCCCAGGAGGTGCACTGCTCCATGAATGAGGCTTCACCCCACAAAGAGGGGGTGCTCTGAGCAGGGGGGGCTCCAGTGAGCTGGAGAAAGAAAAGGGGGCTCAATCCTCCAGGGGGAGCACTCACACCTTTGCCCGTCCCGCCCACTCCCTCCTGCCTCCCTGCCCAAGGGGTTAACCAATGAGCTGCCTCCTTCCCTCCAAGCCCTTGCCATGCTCTCCCCCCTGCCCTTTCCGGCTTAGCTGATTCCCGCGGATCCCTGAAGACCCCTTTCTCCTCCGAGGCTCCTCCTCAGGCCCCGGCAGATCAGCTGCCCCCTCCATTGTTTCGATGTGGCCACGTGGCATGTCATATTGGCCAGGATTCACCACTGTCACTAGATGTGGGCCTTCCGGGGACAGCCTCCTGCAGCACCGGTGGGTCACTGCGGCCGGGCTCGGCAGCAGCTCTCAGCAGCCGTCACTAGGTGTTCTTGTTGGGTAATGGGGTGGGTGTCCCCATCTGGGGGAAGGCATTCCTTTATTAACAAACTGATGTCTCACCTGGGCCAGGCCCTTGGCGGGGGCGTGGGGGAAGGAGGTGGGCTGGGAAGATGGAAGTCAGCCAGACCCAGCCCTGCTGTGAGGGAGCTTGCGGAGTGCCAGCTTGGGACGAGGATATTCTAGGGAGACAATGTGGGGCCGGGGGCAGGGGGCACCAAGCCCGAAGCTTCCGGCTGGGAACACAGGGTCTTGCAACGGGAAGGTGGCTGCCATCAGAGCAGAGCTCCCCTGGGTCCCCTCATGTGTGGTGGCGTGGCCCCAGTAAGGGTGAGCTCCGGCTGGACACAGCCTGCAGGAAGCCCTGGGTGGCATTCAGCCAGTCCCCCACCTCGGCTGAGGGCTCAGGGGAAGGTCCGAGACGCTGGGCCCCCAAGTGGACAAAAATGTCCAGGACCCCAGGCCCGGGGCGGGAGCATGGTGTGTAGGGGTCCCTCTGCCCAGAGCCCTGAGCCCTCCCACTTCACTCTCTGTCTAGCAAAGCTGGGCCCAGGCCCAGCCCAGATGCAGCGCTGCTGGGTAGAGGGTGGGGAGCCTCTGAGGGGCTCCCCTCGCTCTCCCAACCCCCCATGGGGCTCCCAGGGGGCAGAGCCAGGCCTCCCTGCCTCAGGGCCTTGTGGTCCCTTTGGCTCCCGGGGGCTCCCGTCGGACACCCCTGGGGCTGGGCCTGGCCGAAGCTGACCCGGCACAGCCAGCCTCCCCAGCAGCCGCCGCCACAGGACACCAGAGCACAGCGGGGAGAGCACCTTTATTGTCAGAGGGTTACAGGTTTCCCGCCGCCTCTGACCGCCCCTCCGTGAAGACAGGCCTGCAGGAAGCCACGTCTTGGCTCCCACACGGCCAGCACTGCCTCAACGGGGGCAGTCGAGGCCTCAAGGGCAGGGAGAGGTTACCAGGGCCCGGAGGGACCAGGCCGCAGCCTCCCCGGTGCAACAAGAGCGGTGGGGACCAGTCGCCCCTGCCACGAGGGGAGACGCACCTGGGGCGGCGCCGGCACCTGTGAATGTCTGAGTTTGCGGCCGTCACGGAGACAGCGAGAGGAGCACGAGGGCCAGCCCAGGGCACAGGGGACCCGATACCGGAGAGGTCTCGAGCGCTGTGGCCTTGAGAGCTGCTCTGGGGCACTGGGGACCTGGGTGTCTGCTGTGGAGCCTGGCTGGGACCACAGCGCCGAGGGTGGGAGCATCTCTCTCCAGCAGGGCCTGGGAATCAGGCAGCAATCCCTCCTCCTCCTCGGGACATAGGACTTGCCGTGTAACGCAGAAGTGGCCAACCCTGCAGCTTCCCAGAGAGCCTGGGAGAGGGCGGGGCTGCAGGGATGGCCCCTGGAGGGTGCACATTTGCATTAAATCCTCCCTCCTCCCAGCTCAACGGGGTCAGAGAGATTGGGATACAGCGGTGGGCAACGCCAATTCAGTTTGAGGGTCCTTGCACCCCAACGCTCCTCTCTCACGGTCTCCAAGTCCACGTGACTGTTTTGGGTTTATTCAAGGTCTCCCTGGCCTCCGAGAGTAGCTACAGGCCAAGCTGCTCCCCAACCAGTGGAGCAGACCCCGAGCCCAGGCAGGGGAGTCGAGGAAGGAGGCTCAGGGGCCCCCGCTGTCTCGTGCTGGGCAGGGCCCTGCCCTCCTTCCCAGCTGGAGCCTCAGGAGCCACCCGCCCTGAGTTTCCCCGTGAAGAGGGGAAGCTGGCAGGGTAGAGAGAACATGGGTTCAAACCCTGCCCCAGCCATTCATGGTCTGGGGGCCTTGGGCAGGTGAGTTATCCTCTCCAAGCCTCTGTCCCCCGTGTAAAGTCGGGATAACAAGCCTACCTCCTAAGGGTTAAATGAGACAATGTAGGGAAGCTCCTCGGACAGGCCCAAACGATGCAGGGACCCAGTAAATGATGAGTATTACGACTATTCTCACAGCCCACCCGGCCCACCAGATCCCGTCTCCAGCAGGGAGTGCAGGTGAGGAGGGAAGGGACCAGGGCAGGGTCTGGTCTGGCCTCTGGCCCCTGCCCCTGGAGCTGCCATCTGTCCCCAAGGCCCCCAGCCCCCAGGAGCCAGTGTCCCTGACGATCGTCCAGGCCTGGAGCCCGGTCCCACTCGGGGTGTCCTCAGGTGCCAGTGGCAGCACAGGCCCCGGGGCTGGGTCTCTGGCGGAGTCGGGGCTTGTCCTGGAGCGCTGGCCTCTTACTTCCCGCCGCTGGCCCGGCCAGCGCTCCTCTGCCCAGGGTCGGGGCCAAGCAGGGCAGCCAGGGAGCCGTCGGGGGGGGGGCCACCCCGCTTCATCCTGAGGTTGGCTCTCAGAGCGGCGTCCTGGCCGGAGCCCCCATCAGGGGAGGCCAGGGGATCTGGAAGGAGAGCAGGAGGGTGGGCTTGCGCAGGGCCTTGGGAGCAAGCAAAGCACCTTCACTTCCAGCCCCGCCAGCAACGGAAGCTCTGTGCCCAGTGAGGACACGACAAAGCAGCAGCTGGCTTCTACTCCTCACACATCCATTCACTCACTCATTCATTCATCCATTCATTCGTACACTCATCCAGGCGCTCATTTCATTCATTCTCCCATTTGCTCATCTATTCATTCACCAATTCACTCATTCATCCATTCTTCAACAAGTGCTAACCAGGGTCTGGCTCCAGGCCCTGCACAAGTGCCAGGGAGAGACATGGAAACCCCACCCCGTAAGGGAACAGAAGGCTCAGCAGAGTTTGGTGGGGAGATAGGAAGGCGGCTTCAGGGAGGAAGAGATCCCGGAGCAGGTCCCGAAGCGGGAACTGGTGCCCAGGAGGCCGAGGGACCAGCCTGAGCAAAGGTGCCGAGGTGGGAAAGGGCCTGGGGTAACCGGATGACAGCTGTGTGCCACTGGACACCAGGCCATGCTGGGGAGGGATTTGGGACCTGGATGTCGGTCACGGGCAGCAGGGAGCCACGGAGGGTCCTTGGGCGGGGGTGGGACAGGGCCAGACTGGCAGCCAAGTGAGGGGCCACTGGGGCAGGGAGAGCAGGCACCAGAGGCAGCACCACGAGGGCGGCAGGGAGGCGGAACAGAGGAAGATTCGGACTCGGCGGCCACCTGTGGGCCTGCCTGTCCCCAGGTCCTGGTCACCACGCACCGTGGATCCCAATCATGTGCTCCAGGATGGGGACTCTCTCGGCCAGGATCTTCAGCGCCTCCCGCAGCTGCAGCACCCCCTCGCCCTGGGGGGGGGGGGGGGGGGGGGGGGGGAGGAGGCAGCCAAGGTCAGGGCCGTCCTGCTTCAGTGTGCTGTCCCAGCCCTCCCCACGCCCATCACTTCCCTCCTGCCACCAACATCAGTACAACAGCCATCATCGGGTGGACATCCAGGCGCCAGGGCTGGGGTTCGAATTACTATTCAGAGACACGGAACTTGACGCACAGAGGGTAACCAGAGTCCTGTGGCCACACAGCCTGGAAATGGCCGACCAGGGCTTCACAGCCAGACCTGTCTGCCTCCAGCCTGGGCTCGGCCTGCTCCCGTGGCTACCTGCTGCTTCCTCTGTGTGCCCTTCTTTCCAGAAAATACTCTGCTATGGGCAGAGCACCTAGTACGGGCCCACGGGTCGGGGGTGCTTTGCCTGTTTCCTTCCTGGCACTGCCCACCCGAGAGATTTCCAGGGTGGTCACCCGGGCGAGAAAAAGAGAGCGCAGAGCCACGGCTTCTGGAATGCCAGCAGGAGGACGCGATGATGGCACGTCTGCGTTTCTGGGAGCCCAGCCTACACACGGGAGAAGGACCTCATGTGTCGAGACACGTGAATGAGCTGATTAATTGAGAAGACAGGTGACAAGGCCACTTTGAAATAAAAAGTGATGGTGGAGAGACAAGGCCCCGCCCTGGAGTCAGCAGCAAACAGGCATCTTTGGCTGGTAGAACATGACAGCTCTGTCATGACATTCAGATTAATTTAGCTTAAAACAAAAGAAACCCAAAAGCATGCTACTGAGTTACAAGAGAGAGGTCTTCCCACCACAGGCCCTGAGAAGCCGGGCTGTGGGTGGCGTTTGGGATGGGGGTGTCCCAGCTAGGAGTAGGCGGTCCAGGCCCCCTCTGTCAGGACCCGGCTAAGCCTCAGTCCCTGGGCCACAGGATGCACGCCGATGAGATGGGGCGGGGGAAGTCGTGGGTATCCTCTCTTGTCTCCCCATCACAAGTGACCCCAGCATCCACATCTTCCTCCCACTGCCTCCTGTGCCCACCACGGCTGCCCTGATTCCAGCCTCTTCCCCCTTCTCCAGTCCCGCAAGGACCTCTGGAATGTCCCCCGGCCCCAGCTTCACCTCTCCAGCCCAGCCCGCCTCCCGCAGCTGTTCGCCTCCAACCTCTGAAGACACCCCCACCCCCGGCTTAGAACCTCCCTCAGCTCAGTTAAGGGGCACTGTGTGCCCACTGAGCTGGCCAGCCCGCTGAGCCCTGACACTCCCACGGGACTCATTCTCAGCTTGCAAGACCTCCTGGGCTGGCCCTACTGCCTCCGCCCCCTTTATCCATCACCCTGGCCCCCAGCCTCCTCTCCCGGTCCCAGAAGGTGTGGCTCCCCACAGCCATGCTCGCACTCCATCTGTGCCCCCTTCCCGTCCCATCTTGCCCTGGCCCCTGTGTGCTCCCAACCTCACTCTTTCATCGTCCTCTCCCACATCCGCATGCCCATGTATCCTTCAGTCCACCACAGCGACCTTGGGCACACCCGTGTGCCAGGTGGTCTTTTCTGCAGGTCCGTGGCTCCTCCGGCCCTCTCCGGCAGGGTCTCCCCCCGACTCAGGCCCCAGGCCGGTCACCCCATCTGTGCTGCCCCATTGCAGCATACTTCACCTTGTGCTGCAGTCGCTATTCACTCAGCTGTCTCCCCCGCTGGGCTGGCACCCCATTCACCCCGTGACTGATGCCCGGCTCAGGGCTGACGGTGTCAGTCCAGCTCTGTTGGGTACCCGCTCTCCTGCTGAGACACAGCCAAAGGGCAGGAGGGAAGCAACGGGCCCAGGGGCGCGGTTACCTCGGTGGTGGCTTCCTCTTCCCCCTTCCCGCCAGGCTCGCCCTGGGAAGAAAGTCATGCAGTCAATGATGGGTGCGGGGGGGGGGGCGCTTCTCCACCCTCTCCAGCTTCTCTCCCTGGGCACCCCTGCACAGCCTGGCACAGGGTTGATTTTAGGGGCTTAATTCTGTTTCTAGGGAGGGAGGAGTCAGGTTTGGAACCCCAGGAGCTCAGGTGTTGGCCCTTCCAGGGATCACGTCCCCTGCACCTCAGGTCTCTGCTTCCCTGACTCTAAAATGGGGCCAGTAACATCGGCCTCACAATAACACCTAGGTGGCCACTTACTCCTGTGTGACCTTGAGCAAGTTACTTTACCTCTCTGTGCCTCAATTTTCCCATCTCCAAAATGGAGATAATAATAGCCTCATAGAGCTATTAGGAGGATTAAATAAATCAATCTCAATAATAAGCTTGGAGAAGGCATGGCTTTGGAGGCTAACACTCCTGCATTTAAATCTTGGCTCTACCGTTGCCTAGCTGTGTGACCTTGGGCAAGTTGCTTAACCTCTCTGAGCCTTAGCTGCCAGTTCTGGCAAATAGGGAAAATAAAGCACTGTCTCATGGGGTCACTGTGAAGCTTAAACACGCTATGGATGAAGAGGGTTTCCACATAGAAGATGCTCAGCAAAGATCCACTCCTTTCCCCCCAGCCCCATGCCCCTGACATAAGACTTGGGCACGAAGGAGGTACCCACCTCCTTGGCCCTGAAGATAGGGGCTGAGACTCATGAATTCTTATTTCCGAGAGGGGAATTAGAGGTCAGCTATCTATGTCTCTATTCCTAGAAGGTTCAGAGAAGGCAAGGGACCCTGCAGGTCACACAGCACATTAACCCAGGGGCCTGGGCTCCCTGGAAGGGACCTCAGGACTCTCATCCAAGCCTCGCAACAGGAGGCTATTTCAGTCCTTACTTCATACGCTCAGTGAGGGGGGTCCCACCTCCCAAATTCACCCCTTCTCAACTTGGGCAGCTGGCACTGCATCCAGGTTGCCCGTTTCTCTCCCCCTGCCCCATCCTGGCTGGGCTGGATCCGGCCATGCCTGGGGAAGCTGGGAGGCTGAAGTCAGCCAGGCCGCCTGGGGCAGACGCCCGCCCACCTGGTACCCTGGGCCTGCACCAGAGCCCATCGTCCTGGGGGTGGCCCATCCACACGGTCCCACACTTACAGGCTGCCCTGTCACGCCCCGCTCTCCAGCCAGGCCCTGCAGAAAATCAAACAAAGCAGATTAGGCTTTGCCTGCCCTTGACAGTCCTCCGCTGGCCCTCCCCCTGCACTGGGCTCTGGAAATCTGAAAAATGGATGCGGGGAGGAGGGTGGCGTAGAGGAAACACGAAGGCCACAGCCGGGAGCCCCCCCGGTCCTGGCGCCTCCGCTACTGGCCTGTGAAATGGGGCAATGCCAAGTATGGTTATCACTCGGAGAAGGGGACCGGATGGCAAAGCACACATCCCCCCAGCACGCGAGAGAGGGGCCCTCAGAGAACGAGTGACAGCAATGGTGATCATGAGGGTGCCTGCGTGGACTCTCCATCAGTGCCGATGCCCAGCCGGAAGGCTACCCAGGGCCCCAGACCTGTGCATCCAGCCGTCTTCCAGCACCCTCCCCCGGCCAGCCAGGAGATGCCCCCCCC